TAAGGGGGCGGTTACACCCCATTCAACCCTATTATGGACAGAATTAAGGGCATGATTACACCCCTTAATCCCATATAAATAGGAGTAAACTCGACGCGAGCATTCGACGGAGGCACTCCATCGCCACCGTGAAGAACCCAGACTTAAACAAAAGGGAGAAATCAGATCAATTCTCTTCTCTTTTGTAATTAGGAAATCTAAATTGTAATCAAGATTGAGAGAATAAAACATTCAATTCTTTCATTATCTTTTTACAAATTTTCCACCAAACATTCGCATCATAGGAAAGATTCAGTCCACTCTTAAAAGGATGCATAATGCGAATCGTGATGGACGTGAGGAATGTCTCATAGGGTACGAGCGTCGACGGGTCTGAGGACACACGAGAACAGTCTCAAGTCGTGCATATGATGACGCTGGAGGCTCACAACAAGCTCAAGCCGGATGTTCACAAGATTTGAGTTGGCTAAAAAGAGATAGATTTTACTAAACAATTGTTTTTTTAAAAATGTCCCTTTTTAAAAAAAATCTGCTATTTCTAATACACTGTTAGACCATGTACAGTAGTGAAGCAAATGTGAAAATATGTGTTGCAGCAGTGAAGCAAATTGGAAAGCAAATGGAGAGAGAAGAAAATGGAGAGCAAAATTTGCCCATGGGCAATTCTGATTTTGTGGGCCCCACACCTGCAAACAAAATTTTAAAAAAATCTTCATCCTCCTTATTTTGTGGGCCCCACACCTACAAACACCTGATTTTCTTATCCTCCTATTTTGTAATTTATTATTTTGGCCCATAATTAATTAAAATTAATTTTTAATTTTTATATCAATATTTTTTATTTTTCAAGCTCTATAAATAGAGCCTAAGTTTGTGTCATTTGGACACCAAAAAAATTTTGAGATATTGAATTGGTGGGGTATATGATAGAGTGATGTGGATGAAAGATAAAATATGGTGGGGTATAGATAAAGTAAAAAAGTACATATTTGTTTTTCTGCTGTGGAGCTGAAAGAAAAGAGGGAAGCAAATATTGGATTGGTGGGGACAAAAGCTGAGGTGGAGGGCAATATTTACCCTTCTGCTGCTAATGGTCTTATTAACAAACCGAAAGAAGAAGGGCCCATCGACTACAAACTAGAGGTAAAAAAATGCAAATGTTCAAATTTGAAGCACTTTTGTAACAGAAGAATCTAGAACAAATTTTCACTGTAGCCCCATTTTAAATTTTTATTAGCAAAATCGACTGTGTATGGTTTTATTTACTGAAATCGACCCGTTTTCTCGCCATGTCAGCGCCGTGGCGAGAAAGCGGGTCGATTAGTTTTTAATTGGCTTCGTAAACAGTCGGGGTTGGCAACCCCGACTGTTTAGTCTATCGTCCGCTAACAGCTTAACTAAATGGTCGGGGTTGGGAACCCCGACCAATTCGTAATACACCTATTTCGATTTGGTCGGGGTTCCCAACCCCGACCATTTGGCAGAGCCCAGCCAGCGCTGGCTTTGGCCAGCAACGAAATGGTCGGGGTTGCCAACCCCGACCATTTGGCAGAGCCCAGCCAACGCTGGCTTTGGCCAGCAACGAAACCATTTTGCAGAGCCCAGCAAGCACCAGGGACGAAATGGTCGGGGTTGCCAACCCCGACCATTTAGCAGGGCCCAAGCTCAGGGCTAGTGTGTGTGCACAAAATGGTCGGGGTTCCCAACCCCGACCATTTTGCAGACCCCATTCCAGCGCACATTCACCTGGAAACGCATACTTCCTGTAGTACAAAATATAATCACAAATAACACATGCTAAAATGCAATCATACTCCTGTTATCAATCCACAATGCAATCACAAACACAAATATAATACGTATAATTCATATTCGCAAACTTAACATTATATCAAATCCATCGCAACACAAACAACATATCAAGTCCAAATTGCAACTCACAATCGCAACACAAACAACATCCATCGAAACTTAACAAATATCAACAACGCCATTTCCCCTCCCTCTTCCTCTTCCTCTCCCTCTCCCTCTCCCTCTTCTTCCTCTCCCCCTTCCTCGTTCACCTTCGACGTGAGCTCGGATAAGTTCCTCGTCCGGTTGTGTGTGAAGTTGGGAGTGCATGACATTCGCGTCGACTCGAACCGCCTGTGAACATCCAGCCTGAGTCTGCTGTGAGCCGCCAGCTTCATCATGCGCACAGCTTGATCCCGCCCCCGTATGTCCTCGTCGACGTCGCCGCCCGTACTCAATTGGTTGCTCCTCCCGTCCATCACGGCTTGCATGACGCTTCCTCTGAAGAGCTGACCGTATCTTTTTTATCATTCGAAGGAACATGTTCCTCGGCTCCTGCTCGGTAGTCGTGCGCAATGCGTCATGTGCCATAGTAGAAAGCTCCTCGAGCTCTTGTACCTATAAAATAAAAACCGAAAGAAAATTATTATCAAGTGGATGGTGAGAAAATAAAACTCAGAAAATAATTGTATATTTTTCTTATACACTTACCAACTCTCTCTCGACTGGGCCTCTTGGTATGTACTCCTTCGGGGCTTTGTTTTCCTGAAATATCCACCGGCGAGTAATCCCCCAATACCACTGTAGGTACACACCTAGGTCAGGTGCATCAGCCCTCTCCATCACTACTTGTTCCTCCCTTAAAACCCACCTATGGATGTAATTTTGACGAATTATTTGCCAATTAGCACGATGTGCACCTTTTCTTGGATCTCTCTCTATTCTCTCCATAGGCGCTGGAATATGTTGCCGTAGTCCAAATTGTCGAAGCACACGGTCAGGCACGTGCATTTCGACAATCTCAAAGCATATAAGTGGGATGCGAGCACGCCATACATCCTCACCTTCTCGGCAAATATCCGGTAGTGACTCCAACACTAGCTCGTAGGGCATCCATTTGACCTATAAAGAAGATATTATGAGATATTGAATGAATATATTTAGATATCGGTAACAATTGGTCGCATAATTGAATATATTTAGATATTATAATTTTTATACCTGTTCATCCTCCATCTGATCAAGCTCATTTCTGTAAAAGTTTTCATGCCCCTTTGGAGAGGTTTGCCAAGATCAGGACACATTCCATCTATTTTATATACAACGGGTTAGTATATATTAAAATAAAGTACTGAAATTACATGCATCTTAATAATACCTGCAGCCTAACGGAATATGGCCATCGAGAGCGCGGGCCTCCCTCAAATCAGGTGTTCCCAAATGTAATCTCTCCCAGGACCATATCTGCAGCAAAGTGAGGCAGCCCTTCAATTCTTTGTTTTGTACGAGTGCTATTTTCGTCATCTCTCTATACAAGTAAGCTAACACTGCACTCCCCCAAGATAACTCTCCACACTCTGATAGGTCCCCAAGAAGCGATAACCATCTCACGTGCACGGAATCCTTAGTGGAATCCGGAAACAGAATAGTACCGATCATATGTAAAATATATGCACGGGCATAGCGTTTAATGATCTCATCAGTCGCATCGATCGGTACATTCATAAAGTTATTCCTTAACAATTCGAGTTTGATCTTTCCCCCCTTCATTGTAGGAGTGTGACCCAACAATTCTTCACACGTAGTGCCATAGTGGAAGTCATCGGTGCCCGTCACTGCATCACCATCTACTCTGAGGCCAAGTATAACCCCAACATCCTGTAAGGTAATCGTCGCCTCTCCTTGGCGCAGGTGGAAAGTATTTGTCTCGGGCCTCCATCGTTCAACCAATGCCGTCAAAAGTGCCCAATCAAGTCTTACCCATTTAATTTGTGAACACTCAAAAAAGCCGGTTTCACGCACATAATATTGTATCTGTGGATCCGTCAACTCCCAGCTAGAGTGTGCACGGGTATGATCGACAACAGTAATACTCGGGGCCTGCATGTAGTAAACAGTGAAAATGTTCAGTAACAATCAACTATGAAATTACAAATGTATAAAATTGTACCCATTAATTGCTATCTATTTGGATTGGTCGGGCAATGAGATCTTCTATGCCCGGCTTGTCTGCAATATCCACATCTATTTTTTTCCGGAGCTCCTTCCCGGCCTTCATCCATAGTACCTTTTAAGCGTACTGATCGTGGGCGTCCGACTTGTCTCTTATAGCTTGGAGGCACTACATGCGGCCCGTTATAGTGTGGCCAATAACGACTATCATGTACGGGGTGGAAACACTGCTTATATGCCTCTCTATAGTTGCTTGATTGATACCACTCAGAAGCATATGTGTAATACGAAATATTTGCACCCCCCGATTGCTTGGACGTAACGGCTATGACATGTGGGCAAGGCAATTTTTGCAATTCTGGTATGTTACAGGTGCATGTGCAATGTGCACCTCCCAAATTAACGGTGTAATTATGACCATGTTTGTCTGTAACCTCCCATTCATCTACAACAAATCTAACAATCTTCGTACCTCTCGCCTGCTTAACTCGAGCTTCTAAAATCGCCTCATTTTTTGGTGTCAAGAACGAGGCCCACATTGCTCCATCCTCTCGCCGCTTGACAAAATAGTAATTGAGCCTATAAAATGTCCTCGCAACCAACGCCTATATGGGCATTGCCCGAACCCCCTTAAGTACCCCGTTGAAGCTTTCAGAACAATTGGTTGTCATCATGCAGAACTAATTCCCTCCATCTTTACTGAGTGCCCACCGGTCGACGTAATCACTGCTCAGACTTCTCTCAATCCAATCATGTGCAGCTTGAGATGTTGCCTTGATTTGATCCCGTATCCGATCATACACATATGTTTCCGGCGTACAACCCGCTTGCCACAGAAGGTTTTGTAAATGAATCTGACTAAAGCTCTTTTTGAAGTTAGCTCTAATGTGTCGTAAGCAATAGCGATGATGGTGATGAGAGCCAAATCTCCTCCACAATGCTTTTGGAATACCTTTCATCCTATCAGATATGAAAGTAATTTTTCTAGGAGGCAACACATTAAAAATATATAATTGAATGCAAGAAAAAAACCACTCCTAATTTTCACTGTTCTCGACCTCCACAACGGCGAAGGCCAAAGGAAATAAGCCACCATCTGCAACAACTCCTGTAGCAACAAGCCGTACACCCTTGTATTTACCGTATAAGTGTGTGCCATCAATGCTAAGAATAGGCTGACAAAATTTAAACCCCTCAATCGAAGGCCCAAATACCCAAAAAACAGAGGTGAATTGATGAACTCCCGGATCGATCTCTTTGGTTATGAGTTTGTATTCAGATCCAGGATTACTTCTTTTGATCGCATCAAGGTATTGAGGTAGTGTCGCGTAAGACTTGTCCCAATCACCAAATATTTTTGTCATCGCAATTCTTCTTGCATTCCATGCTTTAATATACGAGATTTTAATGAACTTGGTATCAAGCACTTTCTCAATTATATTATCGGGCGTTAGATCAAGCTTCTTCCTTAATTTTGGCATAATCAACCGCGCTATGTAAGAGGCAGATGCACCACTGTGATCTTGCTCTAATATTGGATTGACACATGTGTGAACACCGCAGTATTCACTGATCCTAAATTGAAAATTGTGTTTCTTTCCTGCAAATGCATATAACTTCCAAGGACATGAGTAATCAGCTTCATTTCCCTCGGTCAGACCTGTTCTTTGTGTGTTCATAAAACATATTGCATCATAACTTGTGCGATTGCTTTTAACTTGCTTGAACTTGAAATTCTTTTCGAAAGAGTATTCACGAATAGCATCAACCAATTGGTCTTTAGTCTCGAATAAATCACCAACTTTAAAGGGGGCGTCATCATCTCCTCTACGAGTTGAACTTTCACCGATGCACATATCTTTTACTGTGGAAGAACGAATCCACTCATCATCTTCAAACTCGTCGGGGGGTGGTTCTTCATACTCAACGTAGTCATTATTAACGTAAGCCTCATCAGGCCATTCCGGATTATCTTCGACATCTTGGGTAACAAATTGCATGCTATCAACTGGTGCACTATATTGTTCTTCACCTCCCGAGTCATTGCTTATTTCATCCTCTTCAATTGTTGCCCCACTTAACCTCCCCATATTTCCATAAGAGACTTCGTTATTCATGACATTTGACGTTCTACCGAATTGAGCCCGCTCCATTTCATTCGAAGAAGAAAGAAACCCATCGGAATTAACTCTCATATCTAACATGCGTGAGAATTCTCCTGGAGGTTTGAATATTTGGCACGAATTATGTGGCAACTTTTCAATAAATAATTCTACCGTTTGTTGCGACTTGCCCAAATTAAACATAATACTCATATGATAATCGTTCGAGATCTCTACTGCGGATGTTCTATCAATAGCTATGGGCCAATTGCATATAATTTTCAGTCGGTATTCTCGTGGGTCAATTTCCGTAACTCGGTGTAATTCCATAACCAAGTCGTAGTAACTATATGATTCCGAGATCATTAATGGCGTCGTTACCCCTCCGACGTACATTGGCATATTATTCATCCCATAATTAATTTGCCCACCATAAGAACAAGCAATAAACATCATATTGTTCAACCTATTCAAAAGAAAATTATATCATTTAAATATAAAAAATTAAATTAATATACAAATAATCTCATATAATTTCAACCAAAAACCCTAATTCCCAAATTGTAAATCCTAAACCCTAAAATTGAACAATTGAATATTATATGCCCTAAAAGTTAATTACATCGATAATAATCATCATACAAACGAATTTCAGCGATAACTCTAGCCCACGAAATTCATTTATAAATGAAAACCCTAGCAAAATTATTTTTAAGGAAAAAATCCTACATTTCTACATGTTAAAAAAGAGGAGAGGAGTAGAAGAAATTACCTAAAAACGTTGTAGATAACTTTTGATTTGAATTTCCACTGAAGAAACGAGTTCAAACTTGAGATCTGAAGCTTTGATTTTGGGAAAACGGGCGGAAGAGAGAAGAGGGAGGCGGAGAAAATGAGATGGGATCGGGGAATGAGGTCGCGGTGGCTTTTATACGGTGCAGGGGACCCAGAATAAGTAGTCGTGTTTGCCAAACCCGACTACTTTTTGCCTCGGCCTTGGCCTCTGCGTGTTTGCCAAACCCGACTACTTTTTGCCTCGGCCTTGGCCTCTGCTTAATGGTCGGGGTTGGGGCCCGACCAATTAAAAATGAGCTTCGAATTGGTCGGGGTTCCCAACCCCGACCATTTCGTCTGTGACAAAACCCAGCGCTTGCTGGGCTCTGCTAAATGGTCGGGGTTGGGAACCCCGACCAATTCGAAATAGGTGTATTACGGATTGGTCGGGGTTCCCAACCCCGACCATTTAGTTAAGCGCTTAGCAGGGGATGGACTAAACAGTCGGGGTTGCCAACCCCGACTGTTTACGAAGCCGATTAAAAAAAAATCGACCCGCTTTCTCGCCACGACGCTGACGTGGCGAGAAACCAGGTCGATTTCAGTAAATAAAACTTGATACAGTCGATTTTGCTAATAAAAATTTAAAATGGGGCTACAGTGAAAATTTGTTCGAAGAATCTATTATTTTTTACCCTGAATCTCTCCCCCATCTGGCTTCCTCATCATGAGTTCCATCACGAAAAGCTAACAAAAAAAGGTTCTCTCAGTGGTCAGTTATCACTCAAAGCTGCCTCAGTCGAAATAAACAGAGAAGCGCGCAAAGGAAGGAGAGGGAGAGAGATAAAAATAAAAAAACTTGAAGCCTGGCAACCTCAGGGCAGAAAGTATGCACATCCCTTGTGTGCTCCTCCTGCTATAGCATCCACAGTGAGGCTAATGGGGCCCGCAATAGGACGCCACCACCACCATCATCAGCGTCGGAAGAGACTTCCCTTCGATCCAAAAAGCCATTGAAGAGCAACCTAAAGAAAAAGAACCAAACAACAAAGGAAGAGCGGAGTAATACCAAGGACAGTAAGGTGGCCTGATGCTCAGGGAAGAGAACTTGCCCATGTCCTTGAGTTCCATTCCAGGTAACTATATAACTAATTTCATATAGTTCAAGTTGGGAATTCTTTGGATTTTGAGATTATTTTATATATTTATTTACTTTATTTTATTTTTTCTTTTTTTGCAGGGAAATGGAAGAGGAGGAGCTCCATGGAGTACTGAGGAACTCCTGTGTTTGCTGTATACAGTGAGGATGCTGATCGCTTCAGGTAATGGTAAATCGAGAATCCATCAGCTGTTACTTTACATTGAGTTTGATAAATAGCTAGATAAACAAGCTGTATATTTGCTTGATTTCTCATATTTTACTGAATTTGGAGTTGTTCTTCAATTGGAGAGGGGTCTCCTCCTTTCCTGAAAATTCTGATCCCTGTAGGAGAATAGAAACACTACCCCTTTTGTTAATCAATACTCCAAACATAAGAGTATCAATGCCAGCTTACCAAGTTGAGATAACAGTGATAACTTTGGATAGAATATAAACAAGTATCTGATACCAAGATCATCTGGATTGATGCAAATCTTCAAGAAATCCCTTCATGACAATGATGTGGTTTAGAGGGAAAAATAACCCTATCTATTAAATTTGAAGAAAATGAGAGATTTATTATCATTTTAAGGAGTGAGGATCTCCAAAATCACTTCAGGGCGATAGATAACACGAGGCAAGGTTGCAGTATTGCTCTTATTACTTTCAAAAGGCCAAGTAGGATTGCACTCTGCACAATTTCTTCGTAATTTAGCTTCTAATTATCAAGAAATTAGTTAATGCTGAATTATATACTATAGGAAAATGAGAAATCATGTTTCCATTCGGCTTCTTCCTAGAATACTGTCTCGTTACCCTTGAAATCAACCTTGCCTGTGAAGTCAGCTGTTTGAAGTTTTTAACATTTTCACCCATTCTCTTGCCATGATAGCTTTCTTCACCTCAAAAAGGAAACAGGAGTCATGTAACGTATATTGAATTTCATGAATTCATCGAACGTTTCTTATGATAGCGTAAAGGTCTATCTCATGATTTTCCTCCTTATTTAAAAAGGATTTGAAAAATCAGATTGTGGCTATTTACCTAAAAATTCATGCACTCATGAATGGTACATTATGATCAGTGTCATGTCTTCTTTACCCCCTCATTACTTGAGGTTTGATTGCTATCGCCACCTTAGATAAAGAATAATGTATCTTTGTCCTAATCTGCATAACGCTGCTCTTGAGCCACTAGAGTTTCCGGGAAATTTTCCATCTTGAGTATCTCATCACTGCATTCTATGCTTTTTTAGGCAGCGTGTGAATCTATTCATCGAGTACCAACTCAAGGTACGTCTCGGGCTTAGGCTTTTGAAACCCTGCTAAGTACCAAATTTGTGGGAATTAAAGGCTCTGTCAGATAAAAATTGAAGAGAACATGAGAAAGGAAGAGGTAAGAGCGGATCAAACCTCAAAATCATATATTCCTTAGACACACAATATCTATAGGTCATTGCTGTGCATCGAACACAATTGTATTATGGACATCTACTTGCCTAAAATTTCCAAGCTAATACTATCAGAAGCGACAGAAACTGGGTCATGTAGTAGTAATTTTGCATTTAATTACCTGAGACATTCTCCGTAGTTTCTATATTGCTTGACCTATTACTTATCTAGTCAATTTACAAGCACTTGGTCATGACTTTTTCGATTATCTTTCCATATCCAAATTCACTTGTGTATGATGGGAGCGGATTAGGTCAATTTGCGAAACAAATCAGGTGAGTGCTCAAAGAGTCTGAAGAGACTCGATATTACAGAGAGAGCATTGGTTTAGAGAGTGGCTAACAGTGTCACTACATTCTCAGGGTGTAAGCAATGAGGATTAAATTTGGTAGAGTGAAATGCTGCACATGTACATTCAACCTTTGAGAGGATATTCCCCTCCGTGCAGAAGTATTTAACCCTCTTCCTAGATGATGTAGGGCGCTTAATCTGAGTTGGAGTCTACTTAGATTAGGAAATATAGATTAGGAAATGAATTCAATTTTAGAGTCAAATAATATTAGGAAACAAAATCATATTTGATTCATGATTTGTTTCCTCTATTATAAGGAGTCTTTTTAGGATAGAATTTGACACTTTTTTTTTTGTAATTCTAATCTTACTAGGAGTCTTATTTGATACTTTCTATTTTTATAATTCTAGTATTACTAGAAGTCTTATTTGATATTTTTTATTTTTGTAATTCTAGTCTTACTAGGAGTCTTATTTGTTTTTCTATTTAAGAAGAGTCATGTAACCCCAAAGGAGAATAACTTTTCATCAATAAAATTTCTCTTTTAATATTTTCTTCGTGGATTCGAAGTTCTTCGTGGATCCGGAGATCGTTCTTTGTGGATTCAGAAAACACCTTGGTGGATTCCGAGGTTATTACTTCCGCGCTGCGTCAATTGGTATCAGAACCTTGTTCATCCAATCCGATAGCAGGTGATGAAGTCCCTATTTCTCGAACTGAGTTCGACGTGTTGAAGACCAGTGTTAATTAGATGAAGACTGTTGTAGAGCAACTTGCGTCGGTAGTGGAGCGTCTGAACGCAAGAGGAGTTCGAAATCACATTGATGGTCACCAGCGACATGATTCGACTCCACATGATGAATTCAACAGCGACAATGACCCTAAGCAAGACCTTGGAATTGGGAAGAGCACTAAAGAAGCAATAAAGAAAGAAGAATCACCTCTAGAGCACAATATCTTCCGCACGAGGTGCACTGTGATGCAGAAGATTTGTGATGTTATTATTGACAATCACAGTAGAAAGAATATTATCTCTCGACGTATGGTGAATAAGTTAGGTTTGAAGACAGAGAAACACCGACCTCTCTACAAGATCGACTGGATTCATAAGAGCAATGATGTGCAGAATGATGAGATGTGTAGTGTACCTTTTTCTATCGGTCACATGTATTTTGATGATGTGTTGTGTGATGTGGTCGAGATGGATACTTATCATATGCTTTTAGGTAGGCAATGACAATTTGATGTTGGAGCTACCCACAGAAGTAGAGACAATGTTGATATCTTCAAGAAAGATGAACGCCGAATTGTACTTTTGCCTCTTACAGAAAAAGGAGCCATTTAAGATAAAAGCTACTGAGGAGAAGAAATCTTTGGTGGTAAACAACAAGGCTTTAGCAGAAAACTTGAAGCAATTTGAAGAGGTCTATGACTTGGTTGTAACTGAAAAAAAAGAACCTGCCCCAATCGAAATTCCTCCTAAGGTGCAAACAATTGTTATGCATGAGATTCATTATGGTGATATGATAGTGAAGATGGATGACATGCATGATATTCTCAAATGGGTTGAGAGCGATATTACACATATTGATGTTGTCCCGATGGAGGAGAAGGATAAATTAGAGAGTGAGATAATTGATGATATGTATGAATTGCTTGGTGTAGGGCTAGAGACAAAGGAGATGAAAGAATTATATATAGAGTATGACGTAAGATTTTCTTCCCTAGAAGCAAAGTTGGTGAATAATTTTAAAAAGAATTTGATGATATTTCAAGCACTATAATACGAGAAGCAACATGGAATATATTTTGAGGAGTTTTTGAAGTCAACTGCACATCCACATGCCGCCAATAAAATACACATGATGTCGGAAAGAATAATATATGAATTTGATTCAGAAGAAGTCCTAGCCGAGAACGTAAAACAACATATGGAGAAAATCAATGCTAAGTACAAGGCAGACGCTGATCATTGCAAGAGAAAAAAATTATTTATCAATGAAGCTACTATTCTAACAAATATAAGCTCGGGATCAAGTTTCTTTCAACAAGGGGAGACTAATGTAGGACGCTTAATCTGAGTTGGAGTCTATTTAGATTAGGAAATATAGATTAGGAAATAAATTCAATTTTAGAGTCAAATAAGATTAGGAAACAAAATTAATTTTGATTCATGATTTGTTTCCTCTATTATAAGGAGTCTTTTTAGGATAGAATTTAACATTTTTTTATAATTCTAGTCTTACTAGGAGTCTTATTTGATACTTTCTATTTTTATAATTCTAGTATTACTAGGAGTTTTATTTGATATTTTTTATTTTTGTAATTCTAGTCTTACTAGGAGTCTTATTTGTTTTTTTATTTAAGAAGAGTCATGTAACCCCAAAGGAGAATAATTTTTCATCAATAAAATTTCTCTTTTAATATTTTCTTCGTGGATTCGAAGTTCTTCGTGGATTCGGAGATCGTTCTTTGTGGATTCAGAGAACACCCTTGGTGGATTCCGAGGTTATTACTTTCGCGTTGCGTCAATATATGATTTATTCATAACTGGAACACTTTACGCGAGTCTTTTCATTGTCTATTTTTTAGACCGTGTTTTCTAGTGTTTGACTACTTAAAACGGCAAACAGTCATCAAATCAAACTCAAATTGGTTTGCAAGAGTTACCTGAAATTTAATTAATAGTTTCTAGTGTGTCTAAAATTTAAATTATCTAAAATTAGTTTGTTGTTTCCTTGTGACATCTAATCTCCGCCTACAATGCTTAACATTGTTTATACACATCAATTATTTTTTTAATATTTGGAAAGACTCTGAGTAACTTGGTGCATTGGTAAGTAAGGTAATGGTGTTATCTGAGATGGCTCTTAGCGCAGCTGAATGGATGAAAATGCTTCCTTTTGTGGACTCCAGAAATTTTGCCTAATGCTTTGTTAGTCGTTGTTGTGCTTTTGTCTTTTTACATTGGATTTGCATTTATTCCAAATAAAACGTCTGTTTGATGAATTGAGATCAATCAGCATAATCAACATTAACATGTTGCGCGCAGCGAAAATTTCGGCAGCATCTCGACGTAACAACAAGAGAGTCAGATCGTAATAGAAATTCCTGTTTCACCAAGGAAACAAGAACCAAAAATAAAATATCTCAACAAAGTGGGATATCAGCTCTTCCTCTCATCAGTTCTAGGATTGATCTGTCGAGAGAACCTAAATAAGCTATTATAAATCACACAACCAACGAGACAACCAATTTTACGTGGTTCGGCAGATTGCCTACGTCCACAGGGCAAGGAGGGGAAAGATCTACTACTAGAGAGAAAGAGAATACAAATAGGGTTTATAACACAAAGTCTCACAACTAAAACCCTCAAACAATCTCTCAATTCCTCTCTCAAAAGAACAGCTGCCTCTGTAATTTTTCTTCTTGCACGCC